GCAGGCGAAGCAGTTGTGTTGTTTCGGAGGCGTGCAATCAAGACACAGGGAGCTCAGGTTACACTGTGAGCATTGGAATGAACAGCCTCGACATACTGGCTTCTGGCATTGCCTGTTATCAGGCGCGCGGCCTGGACAACGGCCCTCAGGGTTCTCTGCGCAGTCCGGTCCGCGGTGTGCACAGGCTTCCTTGATCAGGAAACAAGGCGCCGACGATCTCGAGAGGGGCGGTCCTTGATGTGAACCCCTGGAAGTGCGACTGCGACCGCCCTTTCCCGACCTTGACCTCTGGGAGATTGAGCCCGGGGAATCGAGGAGCTGTCTCCCGCGTGGTCGGGCCCCTGGGACTGGAATGGGTGCGTCGTGGACGCCCGAACCACCGGGCTCGGTCTTGGGGCGCTTCTCGTACGGCGACAGCTTGATATTTGCTGGATCCTCTCTCGGGGTCTTCCCGTGTCGCGCTTCCGTCGCGGCCCCCCCGGATGAGGCCCCCTGGCTTTCGGCTTGAATGCCGTCGTCTTCGGGGGTAGCTTTTCCAGCCGGGCTCTGGGCGTGGTCCGCAATCTCCCTGGCCGGCGCGCCTTCGAGGATGGGCGTCTCGAGGGCCTCCGAGGAGCTCGAAATGGAGACGGTGTCCTTCGCGTTCTTCGGCGTCTTTACAGCGCCCTCCTCGTCAGACGAACTGGAGTTCACGACGTATGCTTGTGCGACGTCATCGGACAGCGGGTTCCGCGGGCGGCTTTGGCCGCCGTGTCATTCCTCTTCTTCGTCCGACTCGTCGTCAGGGAGAGGCGTAACCTGTCTTCCACGGTTGATAGGAACGCCGTCGTCTCTTTCTCGATATTGGATGCGTTGGGAGGTCGATGGCGATGGCCCGCCGACCTGAATATCATACTTTCCTGGTTCTGTTGTTTTGTTAAGCCAAGGTCCTCTCCCACATGATGTGCTTCTTGTGGGGGGATCATCTTATTGGCCCCAAAATGACCAGCGTGGTCGGCCATCCTTGGAATAGAGCTTTCGGCTGATAACCCACCTTTACCCAACTTAAGCCCAACAGGGCCAATCTCATCAGGATGTGCAGGTAGTAAGTTTGGTGCTCTCAGCAGAGGTTCCAAGAGTCGCCTTGGGCTCGAGGATGCCCGAGAGACCACGGCGGCCCAGATTGCGGCGAAACCCGTAGAAACACGAGGTTCAACTGTCCGTTAAGCGGATAGGGGGCGAAGGAGAGCGCGGGGCACGCGCGCGTTGTTTTCCCTCCGATCCCAAACAGCTAGGGAACGGACAACTCAATGTTCAAGGATATGCATATATGCACATACGCGGCGGCAGGGAGCGCACGGTAACGACTGATTGGACGCCGCCAGAGCGTAATCAATCACCGGCCCCTCCTCGCTCTGACGGCGCGCGGTGGCTGCGGTCGCCGTCGCGACGCCACCCGAAGCATGGATCCAGCTGCATCCCAGCTCATCGGCCGCCACGTTGACACCTCCCAACGCGACGCAATCCGTGCAAAGGCAGTTGAGCACGCGGACGTACTGCAGCAGCGTGCTCAACGTCTCGTCGTTCGCCGCGCTATGCCCCTTGCTGGGCCGAAGGTAAACTGAAATGAACGCAGCGCCTCTCTTCCCCCCCCCGACGCGCGCGCGCGGCCGCCAGCCTGCCTTCCTGGAGCACTGGCGATGGCATGGCTGGCGGCCTCGCGAGCGAGATGCGGCTATTGGCAGAGACTGCGACCCCCGCGGGCGTGCCAGATCCATTGCTGGTGGGTATAGCGGGTGCCCAGATGCCATGGCATCCAACGTCTCGGAGCCTGGACTGCACCCGGTCCAGCTTGTCCTCCGTGGCGAGGTGCTCTTGCACCGCAACGATGGCACGCCCGGGCACGTCCCCCATCTAGTCGCACAAGGGTGACGAGTCACGCATGGGATGGTCGCGCGGCTGCGCCGTCCTTTGGGGGGGGGGGGCCCTGGGATGCTCGGGGAGCTGCCCCCCTGCCCCCCACTTGCCAAGGCGCCGCCCTCGATGCAATCAGCAGCAACGCCCCGGGGGGCACCCCCCCGTGGCAGACGGATCCCGCCCGCGCTGCCACGCGGGCGGCGGCGCGACTCCCGCTTCTCGCGCCGACAGCAGCCCCCGACCTGGGGCCCGCGGCGCTGCCGACGGCAGCGCCGACGGCGGCCTTCGAACGGGGGCCTGCGGCACTCGGAGGGCCCGCGGGCCTCGCGACTGCCGCGTCCTCCGCCGCCGTGAGCAGCAACTATGCACCCTGGCCCACGTGGCGACCAATTGCCTGGCAGCCGCGATGGCACGCCAGGTCTTTGCGCCCTAGCGCCCGCGGCGACGGAGCCTAGCAGCCGCGATGGCACACTAGGGCTTTGCGCTCTGACGCCAGACGAAGACGCACTCTGACTGGCTGATGTCCCCAGCCCGGGGGGAACGCGCCACCATCTGGGGAAGAAGACGTCGCCTTAAGCCGCGACGACGTCCTCAGCCCAGGGGAGGAACGTCCCTGGCCATCTGGAAAAATATCCGTAAGCGCCTTCCGACACGTCGCTGCCCCCAGCCCAGGGGAGACGCATCCCTGGCCATCAAGGGGAGTACCCGATATCGCCATGCTGCCAGCAGCAGCCCCCGGCCATCTGGGGCTCCCAGTGCTGCATCGTAGCTCGAACTAAGATCCGCTCCTAGTTCGTCGTCCGCCTCCCAATCCAAGAGCGCGAACGGGTCGACCTCGCTCTGATCCAGCATCGCTCTCGGGAGAAAGGGGGCCGCATCAACGCGCCGCGCAACCTCCTCTCCAGCGACGCCACCTACAAGCGCAACAGACATCATCGTCATGAGATGGACAATTACCAACGCAACCGGAAAGGACATCCAACCCTTAATATGGAGGATTGGCCCTGGTATTTTGCCTGAACTGTTTGGCCAGCAGTCGCGCTTCGTCTTCGGCCTCAGGGACCTTGTGGCCTGCCGCCAGGGCGAAGTCCTTGACGGCCTCCAGCGGTTTGGTGGCCTCAGGGTTGTCTGGCGGGGCTGCAGCTGCGTCTGCTTCACTCCCTTCAGGCTCTGCACTGCGGGCCTTCTTCGCCACCATCTCGGCGGGCATGCCGTGGAGCACCTTTGGCAAGGATTCGACCAGCTCGCCACCTCCAGCAGCTCGCGCGATCTCCTCCAAATCCGCGAGGGCGATCTCCACATCGCACAGTTGCACGCTGTCCCCTGTTCTTGTTGAAGGCGGCTTAGCACTAATAGACCCCACCGCCCGTACGGTCTGCTCCACCTCGAACACATCCTTGCGATGCTGGTCGAGCTGCGCATTCTCCTTCTCGATTTCAGCCTGAAGCGCCGCAATATGTTTCGCATTGGCCGCGGCCGCGGCCTCGGCCTTGACGACGCGTGCATTGATCCGCCCCAGCTTCTCGTTGAGGCCGTTGAGCTGCACCGGGACTGGCTGCGCACGGCGCAGCCCCCCAATAATGCCAGCGTGCTCCTTCTGCACCGCCGCCCGATAGGCCAGAGCACTCTCCGAAGCATCATCCTTGGTGCACTCGAAAACGCCATCGATCTCAGCAAGCCTCTGCTTCTTCGCCCCCACTTGAGGGGGCACCCTTCATCAACGACCTCCGTTGCCTTGGCCTGGGCAGAGCTGCGCTTCCAGGCCTCTCGCTCCTTGTCGAATGCAGCCTGCATTTGTTGCATGCGCAACTCCATGCGCTTGGTAATATCCCCCTCATCCGTAACCTGACTCGACGCGCCCCCTTTCTGCTGCTTCGCAGAGATTGGGGACGCCTTCTGCTGCACATTCTCCTTGAAAGCTGCAGCCGTACACGTCTTACACCTGGTGGACTCCAACTTCTCAGCCCCACTGAGCCACGGCAATCTAGGTCGGCTCGTGGACACAAAACCTAAACTTCCACCTCTGGCGACGGTCGTTTCTGCTGCCACCACTGTGCAGTCCCATCGACACAATGTGAAACCGTCGGAGGTGCGAGCCCGAACGGACTCAGAAAAAAGCTCGCAGACTGGGCAAACAGGCCGAGCGGACAATCGGAAGCAAGCCGCGGACTAGCAGTATCCGTGTTTCTGTCGGGGACAACCCCAACCTTCAGCCAAAATGGATACGGAGGGGGGTTCCCCCCACATGGCAAAACATTGGAAGAGGAATGTAGATGTATACATATATACATATACCTATACTTATGCCTATACCTATACCTATACCTATACCCATACCTATACATATACCTATACCTATACATATACCTATACATATACATATTCCTATACCTATACCTATACCTATACCTGTACCTATACCTATACCTATACATGCATACATACACATATGTACATGCATATCTCCATCGGCGGAAGGGTGGAATATTCCAACTGGCGAGCCATCTCTTGTAAGGCCAGCGCGACTTCACACTGCAATTGTGCCGGTCTTCCATGTGCAATTCTGGGGGACTCTTGCAACCCTGCCACCCTCCACTCCTTCTCCTCCTGCGTTTCCACTCAAAACTCCGCATTGCACTCCCCTCTGGTCGCAATCGTCATGCTCATCCTACGCCTCCTTATCCTGATGCCCCTTCGCCCTCCGTGCCCTCCCCCCTTCTCCTCCCTCCGCCTCCTTCCCCACTCACCCTCCACAATCTCTTTTTCCTCCTGCCAGATCACTGCGTACCTCCAGCGATTGCGCACCGCCAGACGCCATGCCTTAGCTGGAACACGGAGCCTCTGAGATTTGGCACGGCTTTCGCCCTGAAGTCCATCTAGAATAGGATTCCCTGGAAAGAAAAAGGAGGAGGAGGACCAGCGTCAACGGAGACATGGGAGGACAAGTAGGAGGAGGAGGAAGAGGAGGACGCCACACTTCCACTCTTCGATTGCAACGTCGCCTGTTGAAACATTTCTGCTGAACCGCGGCGCCTGGCGGCTCAAGATCGGGGAACAACGGGCGGCCCGTCCCCCACGGCAGCGGCGACCCCTGGGGAGCGAGCGAGATGCTGGTGGCCCGTCAGCGTGCCCACCGGGTCCTCGCACCCCGCCTCAAGGGAATGCAGAGGGCTCGGAATCGGAAGCGAGAGGGAGGGCGGGAGGGCTCGGAATGGCGGAGTCGAGAGGGAGGTGGGAAGGATGGGATGAACACTCGGGGAGAAACGAGAAAGGAGAGACGGGAGGGACAGAGAGACGGGAGGGAAAGGATATTGAAGGGATGAGGCAGGAAGGGGAGGGGAACCCAGGGGAGAGGAGGGAGGGAGTCTACCATTCACGCGGATGGCGGCGACCCTGGCCCAGCAGATTGTGACGTCGTGGGCGCGCATCGTGCTGCTCTGATGCGGTGGCCCGCGGTGCGTGCTTGTGGCAGCGGCCGTTACCATTGAGACCCGGTGTCATCGTGCGGGCGCCAGTGCCAGAAGATTCTGCACAACCCCGCTGCATTTGGCGCGTGACCTGCCGTCCGTGGACCGGGTGGCGCAGTTGAAGCGCGCCGTGGTCATACCTGCAACCCGACGCGCGAGAGAGGAGTGGTTCTGCGAGAAGCTGGCGGCCCTGCTGGCGGAGGGCGACACAATGTGTATCGTTCTGGTCCCAGCGCAGCCGTCGTTCCCACAATCTCTGCAATTGGTATACTGTGGAGGTGGCCCATTTGGACATGTTTCCACGCGTGGATCGTTGCGAGGTTTCGCGCGCTGCATTCCGCAATTACTGGTGTGGGGTCACTGCCCTGCCCCCTGTGCGGGAGCAGTGAGGTCACGCTGGCTCACATGCTGGAGACCTACGCAGGCACGCGGGCGTCGCGTCAAAAGCTGCCTGGTGGGTGCGCTGCTGCGTCCACCCGATGGGTGCTGCTGGGAGCGCCAACGGTGGATGACATGCTCCAGCGGCTGGTGTACTCTGGCCAGGCCTGCGAGGCCACGGCCGAGGCAACGGGATTCGGACGCCGCGGGGTCTGTGGCGTTGCCCCCTTCCCGCCCCCTGCCTGCTTGCTGCCCTGGCGTATTTTTGCCACCTGCTGCACCCCCCTTGCTGTGCTTCGCATGCGTTGTTTCTGTTGCTCCAATGTTGCTGCTCGCTGGTCCGTTGCTGCGGTGCGGATCGCTGGCGGAATCATCTCATGCGTTCCTATTCCGGCGCCCTGGGGCATCCTGGGCTGCTGTCCCTCCCTCCTGGCCCCCCTGCCCTCCCTGGTGCCCATCTGGTCCCTTCCTTCCCTTCTGCTCCCTGCGCCCCCTGCCGCGCTGCCGCCCCCCCTCCCTCTCTGCCAGCTTCCTGCCCCCCTTCCCTGTGCTTTTGCTGCGGGCCTGGTCTCTCTGGCGGGGGTTCCGGGCGCGTGCTGTCGGCCCACGGTGGGGGCCGTCCGGACGACGAAGGTCGGCGCGCCGGCGCGCGGCCTCGCGCCACCAACCGCAAAAAGGGGAGACGGACACGAGGAGGGACGGGGGGGACAGGGGGGTGGGGAGCAAGAGAACGAGGTACAGGTCATTCCCAGGGGGCCTGAGATGGCCACGAGGCACGAGAGGCTTAGCGAAGGCTTAGCGAGAGTCTGAGCAGGCGCCACCCCCAGGCGGGACCTTCGAATTCACGAGAGGCCACGGGCCGCGGAGCAGCCGAATGAAATCCTGGAGGGCACCATCCGCGCGGTGGCCGCGGAGCAACCGAGCGATATCCTGCTCGGCGCCCCTCACGACGGGGCCACGAGGCACGCGTCACGGGCGTCGTCGGGCCACGAAGCGACTGGGTGCAGTTCCAAACAGCACCCTCGCGAGGGGGCGTCAGGAGGGCTACGAGGCACGAGGAGGCCGAGCAAGTCCTGTAAGGCGCCCCGACGGATCAAGAGTGTTCTGCTGTCGTGTGTGTCTGCTTGGTGCAAGACCCTCCCTGAGGATCACGTCCTTGCGTCCCTGTGCGGAATGGCGAGCAGCGCTGGCAGTGCAGCCAATGCCCAAGTGCAAGAGAGCACTTCGAAGCGCGCTCGACCCTGGGGCATGTAATCTGGAGAATGCGCCTACCAACTTTCGCAGGGGGCGTGCGAACAATACGCCCAATCTCCCCCTTCAGGGTTGGGCGAGCTGTGGCCATACACAGGGAAGGTGGGCTGGCAGCGGAACGAGCCTGCTCAGCACAAGTTGCGCAGACTGTGTAATGGGCCTCTCCAAAAGCATGGGCAATCAAAGCGGATCATCGATCATTGGCCGCTGACCCAAGAGTCTGTGACTGCCAAAGGGGGTCGGTCGGCAATCAATGTTTAGGAAAAACAGCTGGGCGGTTTGCTGGGCGGTTAAGTGCACGCGCCGAGGCGAAGAAACAAAACACCTCATCGTCTCTCCCTCCATCTCTCTCCCTGCTGTTGATGATGTTGCTTCTCTGCCTTCTTGCTCTCTTTTCCCTCTTCCTGCTGCTGCTGCTGACCTTCCTCATCCTCATTCGTCCTCCTCCCTCTCCCTGCTGTTGCGGATCCGCTTTTTCCGAACGGCGGGGCAAGGGGGCACGCCGCCGAACCGTTAATGTCCCAGAAGCAAATGTTGTAGTCGTCGCTACCGCTGGCCTCGAGCACCCCATCCATTGTGCCCCTCCATGGTGCCACTTGCGCCCTCGCCGCTGCCGCGGATATCCGCCGGCCCCCTTGTGGGGCCACCAGGCTGCGAGGCACGGGTTCGCAGTTTCCAGTACCAGTTGTAGCTTGTAGTTTCCAGTGTTACAGTTCTGCTTCTTGCTGGTTACTGTAACTAGTTGATTAACCGCGCGAGGGGGGGGGAGGCCCAAACGGGATTTTCAGCACCCCCTGGGCGCGTTGTCTGAATTGCTGGGGGGGCTCGAAATCGACACCCCTCACGCAGATCCGCGAGGTCAGGGTCCAAAAACACATGGGATTTGCCACATTTCTGAAATTCGGTGCCACCCCTCACGCAGATCCGCGGGGTCAGGGTCCAAAAACACAGGGGATTTGCCACATTTCTGAAATTCGGTGCCACCCCTCACGCAGATCCGCGGGGTCAGGGTCCAAAAACACAGGGGATTTGCCACATTTCTGAAATTCGGTGCCACCCCTCACGCAGATCCGCGGGGTCAGGGTCCAAAAACACAGGGGATTTGCCACATTTCTGAAATTCGGTGCCACCCCTCACGCAGATCCGCGGGGTCAGGGTCCAAAAACACATGGGATTTGCCACATTTCTGAAATTCGGTGCCACCCCTCACGCAGATCCGCGGGGTCAGGGTCCAAAAACACATGGGATTTGCCACATTTCTGAAATTCGGTGCCACCCCTCACGCAGATCCGCGGGGTCAGGGTCCAAAAACACAGGGGATTTGCCACATTTCTGAAATTCGGCGCCACCCCTTACGCAGATCCGCGGGGTCAGGGTCCAAAACACAGGGGATTTGCCACATTTCTGAAATTCGGTGCCACCCTTCACGCACATCCATCGCAAGGCGTGGTAACCCAAACTGCGAGAACTCCCTCGGCCCTTTAATCGCAAGGTGTGGTAACCAAGCCCGTAAACCATACACGTCTTACCAATCGCCAGGTGTGGTAACCCCTCTTGTGATCAGTTGGTTTTGCTGATTGCGAATCGGCTTCGCATGAAGTTTCGATACTGCTTCACGACAGCGCCAAGACCTCATGACTTAGCTCTTCCATGGCCCATTCTCCGAGAGAGGGGGCCGGCGGCAGGGGGCGAAGCCCTTACGGATAATTGTCATCACATACTGCCGCCGAGCAAAAAATCATACCGGAAAAAAAACCCAATCAGAGTCTGTTTTGATATTACAATAGGCTGTGGGGCTATAGGGCTAATGGGCTGTAGGGTTATTGGGCTGCACGCCCGGGCACCCGGGCACCCGGGCACCCCCAGGCACCCCCAGGCCCCCCCCGGGCACCCCCCGGGCACCCGGGCGTGCAGCGAAAATCGGCGGCCAACCTCACCCCCGGGCACCCCCGGGCACCCGGGTGTGCAGCGAAAGTCGGCGGCCACGCTAACCGAACCATATGAATCCGCTAGGACCCCTACGGAGGCAAGCTCTGATTGGGGAAAAACGTCATCGCAACTGTCAAGATCGTTGTGTCCGCCTGCGTCATCTCCAGAGTCCCCTCCAGCGACGTGAGACTGACGAGCAGATGTTGCCGCGGCACTGTTGAGCCTCGTGGGCAGCCTCTCGGAATGCCTGTCCCCTTCGAAGCCATAGTGTACATAACCAGATCATATGGTTACGCTCGAAAGTGTTGCGCGTAACCAAAACACGAAGAATATGGTTACGAACGACCCCTCACACACTTGAGCTATCAGAATGCATTGAACACTCCCGTAACCAAAATCGTTCCAGAACGATGCAAATCGTAACCATATTTCCAATGTTCGCAACCAAGTCGTAACCAAAGTACACAATTCGCAACCAAATCATAACCAAACCGTAACCACATCATAACCAAATCATAATCAAACTCGTAAGTAGATCGAAACGACCATGTTCGAGATTGCCGATGGGGCTGAAGAAGGGGGTGGGTGAAGCAGGAGGGAGTCTGCCCAAGCTGGTACACTGTGGTTTCCATAATGCTGGCTAAAGGTTTCAAGAAAAGCCCCAAGTGTTGGCTTAGCGTGGCCGTGGAGCCTCCAAAATACGCCCCTGACGTAACGAAATCAATGGATATGCAGAGTGCCTGTCAAACAGATGTTCGCTGTACTGCCTAATTACTCGCTCCCGATGGGCTTTTGATGCCCCAAGATGTTGCAAGAGATGGCTGAACGTCCCCCCCCCCCCGAAAAAAAAAAGAACACGCATGAATGAGGAGAGGGAATCCCCCTCCTCCTCCTCATCCTCGTGCTCCTGCAATCTTCCGTCTTCCTCGTCCTCCTCCTCATCCGTGCCCCGTAAGGAGCTCCACCTATGGCCCCACTGGGTGCTTCCGCATGGCGCCGTCGTCCCCATTTCAACATACACCTCACAATGATCACGCACCGTTTGGAGGTCGACCTATGCCCCCAGCGGGTGCGTCCGCATGGAGCCGTCGCCGTGTCGGCATTCCCCTCTCGAGGATCGTGCCTCATAGGGAGCTCTACCTATGGCACCAACAGGTGCGTCCGCATGGTGCCGCAATCCTCATTTCGGCATACTCCTCATGAAGATCGTGCCTCATGGGGAACTCCAACTATGGCCCCAGCGGGTGTGTCCGGATGGCGCCGCCGTCCCCGTGTCGGCACACTTTTCATTAAGGATCGCGCCCCTCATGGGTCTCTACCTATTGCCTCAAACAGTGCGTCCGCATGGCGCCGCCGCTACCAAATCTTCCCCGTAGGGCGTTCCACTGGGAAGTATTCCGCGTATACGCTTTCCCCGCCAATTGCGGCACAACCCTCACGCGAGGCGTGGGAACCCTCACCTGGCCCACTGGTTGTGCTGGCATGGCGTCCTTGCCCATTTCGGCACACCCCTCACGCGGAGCGTGCCCGTCAAGGAATTCCACCAATGGGCTGAATGGAGGTGATCGCATGGCGCTGCCGCCCCCATTTCGGCACACCCCCTACGTGGATCGTCTCCTCTGGGACCTCCACTTCTTGCCCTGTTGGGCGTGACCACACGTAAACCCCGTCGATTTCAGCATTTGCCTTACAAGTATCATGCCCCACAGGGAGTTCGGCGCCCTCCTGCCCACCTCTTCGGCAGCTCCCGATCCTGGCTGCCCTGCGGCGCGCATCGTAAAAAGAACATGCCGTGCTCCACGCCACATGCAGCTGCATCAAGCCTGGTTCTTCGCAACACAAGTTATTCAGCTGCATACGGCAAGTCCCGCCACAGCATCTGGGTTGTGGGTTATAGGCCTCTTGGATGTTCGCTAGGATATCGTGGGAGGCCTCTCGGGGGCCTGTTGGATGCAGTTTCCAAGCCTCTTGGGAGCCGTCTGGGGGCGTCTTCAGGGGCTTCATTTTGACCTCTTGGGGGGGCCTCTTGGGGGTCTCTTGGGGCTTCCTGGAGGCATCTTTGGGCCTCCTGGGGTATTGCAGGGGCTTTGCAGGGTATGGTCTTTGCATGGTCTTTATATGGTGGCCTTCGCATGGTCTTTGCAGGGTCTTTGCAAGGGAGCGCGGTGCAGTCGCCGGTCCGCGTCCCGCGTAGGGCGGCCCTTTAAGACTACAGACTACAGAAACCCTGCCAGACAGCACTTGGGCACATCATCCGTTTCCACGACGGACCCCATTTATCCAAATCGTAGCCAAATCGTAACCATATTGGAACGTAACCAAATCGTAACCAAATTTGATATAGCGTAACCAAATCGTAACCGAATTTCGCGCAACGGAGTCAAAACAATGCACCCCTCTCATGCAACATTGGTCCAACAAGAGAACGATTTGGTTACGCACGTGCACGCAACAAACCATGGTAAATTACAATACTTTGGGCGCTTGATTCGGTTACGCCGTCTTGTCTTCTAGGATCCCCTCCCCCTCCCCCTCCTCCTCCTCCTCCTCCTCCTCCTCCTCCTCCTCCTCCTCCTCCTTGGTCACTCGCCCTTCAAGGGCCGTTCGCAACGCACTCTAATGTCCGAGAACTCTGTGGCGCACTACCCCTCAAGAAACGCTGTTGTACGCAGATGGTACGCAGATGGAGGAGGAGGAAGAGGAAGAGGAGGAGGCACATCGAGAACACCACTGCAGGCCCACACTGTTCATCTTCGAGGCCAAGACATTAGGAGGCACGCTGGGTCGCGCCACACTCTTTGTGGCGGCTGGGCGGGCCCGTGGCGGCGCGTTAGCAATGCAAGTGTGGCCAAAGGTTGTTGCAGCCGCTAGCGTACGGCTTGATGCCGGGAGGAGTATCGCCACGTCCGCGGACGTCCGCCGCGCCCATGCTCTCTGTCGTGGTCGATCTCTGGAAGATCGACGACGTCGGTAGCGGCTTGTAGCGGAGTGGCTTTAAGCCTAGCTCCAACAATTTCAGAACCTTCTCCTTCTTCATCTGGGTCACGTCTTCGTCCGCGATGTGCGTGACCACCCAGCCCTTCTCCACGCTCTGGTTGCTGGCGTCATCCTCGTGGAGCGGTTCCAACTTCGCTATCTTGATCGGCGCCCGGTCCCTAAATACGATGCCGAGCGGCTGGCAAGGAAAGCTGACGGTGTGGCTGCTCTCGTGGCCCTTGCGCGAAGAGGAAGTGCCTGTTCTGAAAGTTATCCGCAGAGGCCACTGTTTCAGGCCGTTGGCAGACTCCTTCTCCTTCCAGATGTGGTCGACCTCCGCGCCGCTCAGGTGGCTCATGTTTGTCTGGCCCAGCCTCTTGACCGTCCAGCCAGCCTGGACACCGAGGCTCTGGGCGTAGCTGTTGAAGGAAAGGCCCTCGACCTTGGGCACTGTGTCGTGCAGCCTCCAACTGATTCCGGAAGGCATGTACTCGAATACCTTCGAATGCACGTTCCCATGCTCGTCGGAGAACTCCACGCGCAGTCCGGAGGCATCGTGGTCCAGGTGCGCCTGGCCCTCCTCGAGCAGTCGCTTCATGGTCTCGAGGCTCAACTTGTTGGCTCCCTTGTCGCCGACCTCCGCCACGACCCAACCAGTCCTCACGCCCATGTCCGCAGCGTAGCTGTTCTGTTCGAACCCCTCGACCCGCATCGGCAGGCGCTCCGACCACAAGATGCCGAGGTCAGCCCTCTCGAAGAACATCGTCTTCACACCGTTATGGCCGGAGTTGAACGCTATCCTCAGGGGCCACGGCGGGAGCTCCGCGGACTGCCGATGGAGCCAGTCGTTGATCTGGTGCCCCGTCGTGGAGTGCGTCACCTGCTCACTGCCGACGCGCGTCACACGCCACTCGGGCTCGATGCCCAAATCGCTGGCGTAGCTGTTGAAACTGAACAGCTGCACCTTGTGGTGATCGTCCACGGTGAATCCGAGCGGGCGGCGGCGCAGCCAGAAGGTCTCCATCTTGTGGTTGCCAGTGTCGAACTCAACTACCATGTGCGGTCCTTGCATCTCTGGCAAGTGTTCCGAACCATCAGACAGGCACTTCTGCGGGAAGGAGCAGGAGTGCGTGGCCCCCACCTTCTGCTGGCCTATCTTCGTGACCTCCCAGTCGAGCTCGACGTCCAGCTCCTTGGCATGGCTGTCTGGCTTGAAGTAGTCTACCTTGAATGTCGGTCCCCGTGAGAGCACAATCCCCAAGGGTTTCTTCTCGAAGTCGATGGTCCTCAAGCTGTTCAAGCCGGCTTGGCCAATCTTGAACTCCACCCTCAGTGGCCAAGGACGGGCCTCGAGGTGAAAGAGTCTGGCGTGCTTCTCCAAGAGCTGCCGCACGTCCCCTGGACTCTGCTTCTGCAAGCCGCTGTCGTTGTGGATCCGCACTATTTGCCAGTCTTTCCTGACACCTCTTTCTTTGGCGTAGCTGTTGAAAGCAAAATTCACGACTGATGTCGGCGCACGTTCAGAAAGGTCCATGCCGAACGGCCAGCGGTTGAAGAAGATAATCCTTCGCCGCCCGTTGTCAGAGAACTCGACCTCGAGGCCTCTGTCCACCTGCGGGAGGTGGTCAGTGCCTTCGTTCAGGACGGCTGTGAACTCCTCCAAATCAGAGACGTGGCTCACGTCCTTCGTGCCAATCTTCACGAAGCTCCACCCCTTCCGCACTCCCTTCTCAGCGGCATAACTGTCGACGTGGAACTCGGTCACCTTGAACGGCGCCGTGGGGGACACATCTATGCCGAGGGGCTGCCTGTCGAAGAGCACTGTCTGGTGACTGTTGTGGCCTGCGTCGAAGACCACCTTGAGGGGCAACGGCGCAAACCTTTCAGTCTTTGAGCTGATCAAGTCCTCGATGCTCTCGGCGCCCTGCGTGCCCACATCGTGGCCATCTACCTTGAGAACCGTCATGCCCTCCTGCACGCTCTTGCGGCTCGCGTAGCTGCAGCAGGTGAAACTCTTCACCTGCACTGGGCCGCCCTGTTGCCGCTCGAGCTTCATCCCGTGGCCGTGGCGGTCCAAGTGCACGATGTGCTGGTGATCGTGCGCGTCGAGGACGTCCAGCCGCACGGCTTTGTTGTAGTCCTCTGGAGGCAAGTGCTGCTCGGCGGTCTCGAGCCACTCGTGCACCTGGCTGGACAGCGTGTCACGCGTGATCACCTCGTGCCCGATGCGAATCACCTCCCAGCCTTCTCGCACGCCCTGGCCGTACGCCTGCCCATTTTGCGCGATGTGCTCCACTTTGAAGGGGGCCTTGAAACTCACATCCAGGCCGATCGGCGAATTCTCGAAATCTTTGCGCTCAATCTCGTCCCTGGACCCAGTCGTCTTGAAGTCTATCCTCAAGGGATGGGCTGGCAACTTCTGCAGCGCTGTGCGCAATCTGTGGTCCACGTCTGAGAACGTGGCCCCCTCGGCGACCTCGCGGTCTCCAATCTTGGAGATGCGCCAGTGTTCCTGGACGCCAAGCTCTTTGGCGTAGCTGTTCGGTGTCACGAAATTCTCGACCCTCACTTTGCCTGACCTGGCCAACACCATCCCATGGGGCTGGTAGTTGAAGGTCTTGCGTTGCACCCGACCTATCGAGTCGCGGAACTCCAGTTGCACACCTGTGTCCACGGGGTCCGACGGAATCGGTGAGTAGTCCGTCTTGCTGCGGTGGCTCCAGCAGGCGAGGCCGAACAGGCCGAGGCACCCGAGGATCACAAGGGCCGCGATCATCCACATAATGCCGATGAGCCCCCCACGGCCACCAGGAGGCATGTGCGTGCTCGCGAGGAAGTCGGATTTGGGCTGCTGCACGCCGTACGGGCACAGCATGCGACCCTTGTGCTTCAGCTCCACGCAGCCGAGGGCCTTGAGCATGTCTGGGTCGACGGAGTGGCCCATCTGCAGGCGCGCGATGATGCTCCCTGGCCTCAGGTCGAGGACCTGCTTGCAACCGTGGGTTTTGTACTTATTGTGTAAGAGCTGCTTCAACATCTCTTTGTCGTGATCCGTGGCAAGCACCTCGGAGAAATTGGCGTCGAAAGATATCTCCACGACGTGGTCTGCTGTAGTCGAGGTGGTTGTCTCGGTGGCCGTCTCAACGGTGTTCGTTGCTGATGGGACAGTCGTAGTCGTCGAGCTCGCCCTCGCTGACATCGGAGTGCACTCCTGGCTGCCCGGACCGTAGCCCACCCACAGGCGCCGCTGCGTCCTCAGCACCGCGGCGGCCGCCCCGAGCTCGGCCGCCGCGGGATCGGCTGGGTCCTGCGCGGCACCTGGCGCGCCGGGGCTGCGGGTATCGTCGCTCTGCTGGAACCCAGCGTCGCCCTCCTCATGGAAGAGCGAGGACCGCGGACGCCAGCTCTCGGGCGGGCCCGAGGCGCCACCGCCGTCGCCAGAGTCCTGCAACTTTGTAATTGTGGCGCCCGCTGGGTAGCTGTTCCGGAGGCCGTGGTCCAGGTTGATAGATCCGATGCCGACGATCGTCGCGGTCTCGCTCAGGCTGCCAGAGGAGATGCGAATCAGGTTGCCCACGTCGAACTCGTCTTCATTGTCAACCTCGATCGTCATGTCCCCCGCGTGGGCAGGCCGCAGCAGGGTAGCGGAGGCCGGCTCCTGGCTCTGGCCGTTCTCTCGGGTCGGGCGAAAGGGGGGGATAGCAAAGGGGGGGTTTGATAATCAGCTCGCGTAGCTGATTTTCCCGGCGCCTCCCGGCGCCAGAGGCGACTATGCATCGAGGAATGGGCCCCGCGGTGAGGCAGACACCAGCTGCGTGCAGCAAATTTCGTAACCCCCCCTTTCCCAATCCCCCCCTTTCGTCCGGCCCGATTCTCGTAAGGAGGGCCAATGTACGCCACGACCAGGTCTGGGCACACCGAAGCCAGGTCCTGCCCCTCCTGCAAGTCGTTCTTCAGCGCCACCACCCTGCCTCCGACATCTGTCCTGCAATGCGTGAGGCCTCCACCGGCTGTGGGGAGCGTCAGTGCCACCGCGTCGCCAGGCTGAACGACATCACCGAGACTGACGAGGAAGGACTCGAACACGGTCCCGGGCGCGCACTTGACTGGCTTTCCGTCGTCCTGCTTCACGACCCGCTCCTCGATGATCGCGAGGTGGCCGTCCGGCACCGTCTCGTTGATGTCGTCCCCTGGGCCGATGGCCTGCTCCGCCACCAAGTAGCCGCTGGCCCCCGCCAGGCACGTCACCGAACGGTCCGCCTCCGGAGGGCACAGCTCGATGACGGGGTCGCCCTGAAGCACGTAGGAGCCCGTGCCGCTCAGCCACTTCACAAATGTGCCCGAGCCGCACTTCACGCCGACCTGGCCCGGCTGGAGCTCGAGAGGCATGAACTCCCACCCGCCCAGGTCTTCCGCAGCCCGCGCGGGAGCCGGCTCGGGCGGCGCTGGTCCCAGTGGTTCCTCCGCGAGGACGCCCCGGGCGGCACAGGCCAGCACCGCGAGGGGCGCCAGCGCCGCCCATGGCATCGGGCCGCGCGGCGGCAGACAGCAGCCGCCGCAACTGCCCCGTGGTCCGCGGGGCCCCGCGCCCATGAGCCGGGCCGGCTTGAGCCAAAATGGCTGCGGAAGAGGAAGAGGAGGAAGAGGCTGAGGACGCTGGCAACTGACATCGGTTCCTTGGCTGAAGCTGCCGCTTCCTGAGGACGAGGCGGACGAGGAGGAGCAGCATCAGCAACACCAGCTGCAGCAGCGGCGGCGGCAACAGCAGTGGCAAGGAGGAGGGGGAACAGTCCGCCGACCCTGCGGCGAGTGTGAGACGCTGTCATCGTTTTCATATCATTGTACCCCCCTCCAGGGACCCCAAACCAGAGATTGAACCCCCCCCGGCCCCGGACGAACGCGTCATGGGAGCATAGAGGGCCCCAAAACGAGCCAAGAGTGCCTCAAGTGGGCCCAGAGACGATCCAAGAGGGTCGCGAATCGTTGAATGATCGTTCCAAGACGCCCAAGATGGCATCCAGACGGCCCAAGATGCCTCCAAAACGCCCCAGGAGGTCTCCAAGAGACCTCCCAAGAGGCACCGCAGAAGTGACAATTGCCCCATTCCTTTAGGGAAAACGTATGTGTTAAACATCATCGCCTCTTGCGCTTTCATAAAGTGCAAGACGGCCCCAAGACCCCTAGGACAGCTCCAAGACGGCTCACAAGGGTACCAAGACCGCCACAGAAGCCCCGATGACGGCCCCAGAGGGCCCCGGGCGGTGCCAATAGGGGGTCCCCGGGGGGAACCCGCACCCACATTTCCAGCCTTCGGCCCCATGACGCCACCAGGTTGCCTCAAGAAGCCCCCAACACGTCTCAAGAAACCGCCAGGGAGCCCGAACAGAGCCCCCAAACGCCCCAAGAACCTCCAAGGAGGCCGCCAAGAAGTCCAACATCTGCCTCCAAGACGCCCCCGATAGTCCTCCGACGAGACCCCATTCAGACGAGACCCCACGAGCCCAAGGTTCCAGATCCAAACTGCAAACATGCGTTTCGGGCGTGCCAGAATCGTCCCGGGCAGCCCCACGAGGCCCGAGGCAGGACCCCAATACCAGATCCTGACTCTTCCTCCTCCTCCTTTTCCTCCTCCTCCTCGTCTTCTTTCTCCGCCTCATCCCTCATCCTCCCTCTCCTTCTCTCCTTTTTCCTCCTTATCCGTCGTGACTATGCGTCAGATCTGCAATTCAACAACGACGCGCAACGGCCAAGTAACAAACACGAAATACGATAGCAGCAAAGAGGAAACAGGAACGATGTCGACGGAGAGGGAGGATGGAAAGACAGGACGGAACCCAAACCCCTGTGCCCGCACCAAATGTCCCAAGCCGCGTACTGCCAGGCTCGTGACAAAATCGTTGTGGCCTCGGCTGGCCGACGGTCCGCGGCGCCGCGCTCCTCCTTCTTCGCTCGTTCGTTCCTCCGTCGTCCTTTCTCATCCATCCTCCCCTCCTCCTCCCCTTCCCCAGCACTTTTAGCCTCGTCCTCCTTGTCCTCCGCACCTGTAACCCTCCCTCTGTTGGCCCCGCCCGCACCTGCCAGATCAGTCCCTCTGTCCTGCACCTCTTCCACAAAGGTGGCCAAGCTGACAACAAGGTCCAACTGATGAGCAAGCAGGCGACCTGACAAAACGAGCGCTGCACCGCAGAAAGCTGTGTAGGGTGTGACCAAATCGTGTCGCCGCAAACGCCGCGGCGCCAATAATGACTGCACCTTCACGGTGATCAGCCGTCGTGCCCCTGGCACGTTGGGGCGTGGTAGAATGCCACGCGCTGCCTGGTAGGGTTTCTGAAATGTCTTAAACCACCACCACCCCTCTACCAGTACCGGGCTGCGCGCATCGGCCCTCCTCCCGAAGCCAAAAACCCTGGCAAAATTCAACAGACTCGAAGTCCCGAGGCCACAACCTCTTGTAAAATGCGACGAGCTCGCGCTCCCGAAGCCAAGATGCCTCCAGGCGAAGCCAAGCTCCAGCTCTGTTGTACCGTAGTAACGATAGTCTCAGTAGGAGAGGATGTGCCATCTTAAGCAATAGGAAGATCCTTTTGGTCTCGAGTCTCGATAGCGATTGTGTGCCTCGCAGTGAGGCACAGTCATATTTGGGCGGCCGGCCGCTTCAGCCGACGCGGCCGCGGGCGCACGCTCGCTTCCACTCCTCATGTCCCTCAGTTCGCTTTCGAGTCGGGGGGGGAGGGAGACGAAGCGTGAGCCCGTCGCCCCAACACAGCAGGCACAGCAGCTAATATACACAAGGACAGAAGAAGAAGCGGGCCAAAAGGAAGGTGGACCCGCTCGCAAGTTGCCTCGCCTGTACAGTTCTGTACTTGACGTACTCATCAGGCGGCGTCAGAACTTGATGTCTGGCCGGCCCGATATGGAGTATGTCTCTTCTGGTCATGTTTGAAGGCCTGTATACCTCCCTTGACTTGTAGGAGCATTTCTCTGTCGATGCTACCCTTGGCGTGACCATCCGCAGTCATATCGCGGGTTTCGCACTACTGGATGATGTGCACGATTCCACGCTCCATCATCTGTCGTATCCAACTGATGTGTCCTAAAAGTGTACACTCAGCCCGCTTCTTCAAGTTCTTGCTTGCCAAAGTCTTAAAACAGATTTAGCATCTACGGTCAAGATGACCTTGATGCTCAGGCCATCCAACTCAGGTATATCTGTCAACCGAGTGGGCGTGAGCGGCCCTGCGTGGAGCTCGTGCAGAGTCACAATCGTGGGATTACAGTCCTCCAAATTATGGGCTGCTGCTCGTGTCTCTGCTGAATAGCTCGAGCGGACCTGCAAGCGGCGAGACGCGCAATACGCAACGATCAAGTGAACGACAGGCTTACCGGATGACGTGCTTCCACGTCGTAGCAGGTTTGCCCCGCGACTACCATAGCCTTTGACGTCGTCGCCGGCGTCTCCACTCAGGCGTCGGTATCCTGAGTCGCTATGCAGGTCGACCTCGCCCGTGGGATTCATCGCCTGGTAGACGATCTTATTTGGGCAGGCCTGTAGCTTCCCGGTGATCGCGCTCAGTCGTCGCACTTGGATGTTGGTCGGTTCTTGGACAAGACACAACATGCACCATCAACCACACCTGGGTGATTAATGCACATGCCAGCGCACCCCTGAGGCTGACGAACATGTCTGCAACCATCTGGGCTGCCTGAGCGTCAGCGTCGGCGCCGGTCAATTCAGGATGTTGTAAAGGACGGAGCTATGTGATGTATTCATCTTGGTCCAAAGTGGCATTGCCGTCCTCATCTTTGGTGTATCTCACAGTACAGTTGGTGCATGTGTGCTTGTTCAGTTTACACTTGCTTCAACGCGCTTGACATACTTGTCAATGGTGTCATCTCGAAGTCATGATGCTCGATGTTTTAGCTATATCTTGCATTTTAATGCACTTGTTTTCGAACCATGTCTTGAGTTCAGTGTAGAGGGCCTTCGATACTTTATCGGGATTCGCCTGGATGTCAGCTTTCGCGAGGAGGTCGTTTTCCTTGACGACCGCAGCTCGCTTTGCAGCGGCGGTTACGTATACTCGCACAGTGGCCATCCGGTCGGCATCTAGTATCATATGTTGTTGTTCGGACAGGACTATCTTTGACATGTCTGTCGTAAAGCAGAGTTCGACATATCGACCTTTTTTATTTGAGTCCAATCCGTAGTTGTCGTCTTCGACCGTGGTGGACATTGGGACGTAGTACGTCTCCTCGGTATCGGAGTCGCGAGTGCGTCCCCGCTTCGGCAGGTGTCCCCGCTGTTAATCAGCTACAGTGATCAGCGCAGACTGATATGAAACCATATGTGTAGGTATGGCGAAGAAGTTATCTGGTGAAGTTGCCTCCAGCAGTTCCTTTTCCTCTTGTAGTTCTGCGTAACACACTTCCATGACATGCGACTAGGGATCAGCCTCCAATTCTTCGTGAATCGTAGAAAGCCGCCCATCATCATGTGGTGGTTCGGCTTCTGAGGCTTCTCTTGCGGTTCCCTCCGGTGTCGGTGTATCTGCCAATTCCTCGAATCTTGACATGTTCTGAGCAAAACCTGCTTGAGGTTTAGTGGGCTTCAGGCATCGAATAATTCTCGAATGTGCTGATCAAGTTGTAACGTGTATATTCAGAGCAACACCTTCTGCTTCATAATAATTGAATACTGGATTCACGTCGTTGTCGTAATGGACCAGTGCGCAGCTATCGGCATAAGTAACCGGAGGCAGCTTATGAATACTCTTGGCTAACCTGACTGGAACTACATTTTCAATACGAAAGAAGTTTCTGATGCGGTACTGTAACGCTAAGTGTACCTTGGGAGATAGACGGCTTGCAGTCGTCATCTGAAGCGTCCCTTTCCTGGTCGGCACATGGCCAGGGGTCAGAGCAGGTCTCTCCGCCGATAGGCTGGCTGCGAATGTTAACACTGTGCGTAGTGCAGTGTTGTCGGAGCCCATCTCTCGGGCTATCAATGCTTCAATGTATGATGAATGTCTTGCATCGCCGTATTGTACTTGAACGTCTCGATTGCCCACTCGGATGATGACCTGACACATTTCGGGATCATTCTCTACAGCTGGGAACGGGCCATTCCAGCCTCCCCAGTCATCCTTCGTAGTCGTGGGGCGAAGATAATCGACCAAGTCTCCTTCATCGTGATAGTGCTGACCAGTAATAGTTGTTTAGTGCGCAAGGCACGATGGTCATAGCTACTGCTGTGGCCTGTGTCATGGCTTCAATGCGTACCCTGCGTATCGTCTGTTCACGAGAGTGGTCCGACGTTTCCGTCGGCTGCTCGTGGTCCAGGACAGGTCGGTCAGGGAGCATTGCTGGTTGCCGTCCAAACAGAGCGTTGTATGGTGGCACCTCGCTATAGAAGTTGAACGCGTTGGCGGCGAACAGGGCGTCGTGCAGTAGTCGGGTGACCACAAGAGGTATATCCAGCCTATTGAGTTGAGCTTCCACGACGTGAAGTAGATGGCGTTGGATGCCATTTCTGGCCTCGATCGTTGTAGCGTGCTGTCCACGTGCGCGCATCCTAAGTGCAATGCCTTTTGCCTGAGGACTGCTTTCGCAGTGTCGATGTTAAGGGCACCCTCTCCATCATAATAGAGAGCCTGTGCAGGTCCAAGCTGCATCCAGCACTGATGGTATGCATCCAGGATACTTGCCATACTCTCGTCTGGTATCTCAATCCCAATGGCAAACCGTATACAGCGATCGGTGATATGGAAGATATGGTGTTCTTGGTTGTAGAACATCAGACCACATTCCACTTCCTCATTAAATTTGCCAGGTAGCGCAGTAGAGGGTATAAGAGTAAGCCCAGGCTTGTCCCGAGCTCTGCAGTCTCGACATGTGTCGCAGACACCTTTATTCAGGTTGAGTCTGACACTGTCCAGACCTATGTTGCTTAAGATGGGTCTCATCTTGGGCTCTTTCGCGTGGAACAAACGCAAGTGTAGCTTCCGCAACTCGCGTGTTACCACGCTGGGGTCAAGGCTTCGTAAATTTTGTAAGCTGATTTGTACATCGAACCGTGGCCAGACTGGTAGTCGCGGTCGCGCAGCAGGGTTACCCGCTGGTGGTGGAGGAGGTGCTTCTCCACCTTGTTGTCGACCACGTCTTACTCTAACCTGTGGTAGCCGGAGATTGCCACCCGAACTACCAGCTCCACTCGAGGCAGGTTGCCCTGCAGCAGGTTCAGCAGCATTTCTTCCTACAGTAAAATGTCTTGACTGCTTGCGCCCGCTGTAGGTCCAGCTCTGGAGCCGGGTCTCGGTGCTCTTAGCCGCGTAAGTGGTGATGCGGCTGGCGCCTCGGGTGGTGGTGCTGCTAACTCTGCAGGAGCTGGCGGTGCAGGTCCTGCTGCCGGTTCGGCAAGGACCGGCGGTATCTGTCCATGATTGTCGGGCAGCTTCCAAGGCCTGGCAAACTTGCATTTGCCAGGTGTTAGTACGTGTCCAGGCTTGTTTTTTCCAATAGTTCGGTTTACAGCTCGGACATTCCCAATGGTAGACGCCCTTATCGCACCACCTGCAATGGCTCGGATCTCTATCACGAGAGGGAGAATGAATGTTAACATTGTCCGCGCATGCGGGACACCCGAGCCCCCCGCGACGGTGGTCTCGCAATCGAGCCATCAGGTTGCCGAGAGAGACTCGGGCCATCCAAGTCGTATCCTCTCACGTTGGTGACCAGCACGGTGGGCAAATAAGGGTGGCCACGGAAAGAATCACGAGTTACCTGGAAGAGAGCGTGCGCGATCTGAATAGCCTCGACAAAAAGCGACTGCATCTTTGGAGTATATTGTGCAGCCATGGACAGTTCCTTGTTGCATACCGATGCGTGTTGATGATGGCCAGTACATC